GAATTTGCCAATTTTTTGTGTTTTGTGATTGTTTTCGGAGTAGAGTGCATGGCTGGATCTTAAACTTGTCCTCTTGCGTTGTCCCGGTCCATGTATGCTCTTAATTGCATTTTAACCACTGTTAGGGCTCCTTTGGGTACCCCAATCCACGAGGGGATCCCCGGCTAATCTGCGTAGGGGAGAAGGCCCGTGTCTTCGCTGCCCCACCAATCCACAGAAAAAACTACTCCGCACTCGTGATTCTCTCTCCCCGTCGCTCGATCTCCAAGCGTCTCTGCCTCGTCATGGCCATGGATTCTTGACGTTCCTGAAGCATCCTCCCGGACTGAAACGGCGTGCTCCACGTCCCGCTCCTGGTCCTCACGGCCGCCCTCGCCACGGCGCTGCGAAAAGCCACCTCATTTCTCTCCCGATCTCTCGTTACTGGCCAATGGCCATTATGGGCGCGTTTAGTTCTCATGTGAGATCTACAGCAGGATTTGCGCTAGCAAATTTTTTCCTTACTCTTGCTCGGCTAGAAATCGAGATGGAACAAGCGTTGCCTCGGGGCTTGCACTAGCAAAATTTTTCATTGCTGGGCAAGGTAGCATCGCGACCAGCAAAGGAACCAGACACATCTAGTGAGGGAGCCAAGCACACCCTACGCCTCTTTGGGTTTGTGGTCACGAGTGGAATTTAATTTTGATATTTATTTGGAAGCTATGGACATGTTTGGTTTGTGAGCTTGAGAAGCAAGACCAAAAATTGGCAATCCCATAAAAAATTGGTTACTATTCGCTTCACTGCCATAGTTTGGTTTGCTAATATGAATTTGGCCATGGCCATATATATTATTATTCTATATAAGAAGGCAAAGTTGGGGCTAGAATAGATATATATGTTCGGATAGATCAGATCGGAGAGTTAAAAGATTGATGAAGAATGACCGGGCCTAGAAGCCTTGCTTGGATGACCAAATCTGCTGGGGTAATTAAGGCCCATGTAAATTCCCACGGGATCTTACTTGGAATCCAAACAGCATCGCCGCGCCGGAGCCTTGGTCAGCCTGTGCTTCTTTTTCCTTTTCCTTTTCCTTTCCCCTCCTACCTCCCGCGTCCGCCTTCTCTGTCTCTCCCTCTCGTGCCGACCGCCGCCGCCTGCCTGGCCGGCTCCCGCCGCCGCCAGGTACCAGGAAGTCGTCGGGAGTCTTCTTCGGCGACGATCACCCACCAGGTACGCCCACCCGCTTCTCTTCTCTTCTCTTCCGTTCCTGCCGTGCGAAACCGAGCCTAAGCTATTCGTTTCCGGATCCGATCTAATTACAAGTGTATGTACGTGGTGCACATGTAGGATTACGCCTACTGCTAACTTGGATTCGATTTTTGCAAAAATTATCGGGTGTACTCCCATGTTATTCACTTCTAACGGTACCATCGTGCATTTGATGTGCTTCTAACCCAGTACAAATCCAGTGAAACGACGCATACCTTTAAACAATCTGCATCTTGCTTGCAATTATCAGCATTCTTGCAAGGTGAAGATGGCCATTGATATGCTTGCTATTGGTGCAGGACACATCTCTGCTGCAATGGGTGACTACACAATCCAGATCAGCACCAAGCTCATCGACCAGCTTGCTCGCGATGATGAGAAGGTGAAACGGAAAGCCAGGAAGCCCAAGCCTAAGAAGAAGCCCACCGTCCAGCCACACGAAGAGCCCCTGGAATTCCCGAGCGAACCCAAGACGACCAGCCCCGCTCCCGCTCCCGCTCCTGCTCCTGGGTGGCCTCTGCAGCCTCCCCCTATGTTTCTGCCCGTGACCCCTGCTCCGCCGCCACCCCCGGCCACAATGCCGGAGGTGGAAGCCATCCGCTCCATCCTGAAAGAAAGCGGGGCGGTTCTCGAGAAGCTGGAGAAGCAGGAAGCTGGGGCACGCCAAGAGCTCAGCAAGAGAGCAAAGGAGCTGCATGACAAGGAGTTCAAGCTGCCATACCAGGACCCCATGCCCTGCACCCAGGAGAGGGCAGGATGCCTCGAGTGTTACAAGACCAACGCAAAGGACCCGCTCAAGTGTGCTGAAGCAGTCAAGAGATTTGAGGCGTGCGCTCGCATGGCCGTCAAGGCTGCTGCCCCAAAAGCCGATTAGTAAGTAGCCCATCAAGCTCTGTGAGTTGGGGTGAGCTGATACGCGGACTCTGCGTTTTCTTTTGATCTTTTGAGTTGAGGTGATTGAAATAACCAAGGATTTTCATGGGACCCACTGTAGATTTCTAATGCCACTGCACTGGGCTACCTGAGGCAGCACCAGGGATATTGCATATGCTTGTTACAATTGGTATATCAAATTGCTGGTGAAAAGGTTTTTGTCTGAAAGATATATCGGATCTTGTGTTGGAATGGTATCCACTAGCCACGCTGCATATTTTTTGCTGTGTTCTACGGTATAACTATTGGGCTATTGTCGAACTCTTGTGTGCATGATGCCTCTGTTTACCTCTTTTCCTTGATTTGCACAATGCTTTATTAGTGTCAGCATTGCTATTTTGCATTTCGTTCACTCATGGGCTGTAGAATTCTGTTCCAAGTGGATCAATATCATTATCTCCTCTTGTGCTATAGGAAATATTGTTCTGCTTATCTGTCATGAGAGAAACGCTAGTGATGACTGCTTTTAGAACTCTGAAGTCTGAGAATGGTGACAGGCAGGGTGTCCCCCTAAAAAGAAACCGTCTCTCCTTTTTTTCGACTAAAAATTGAAATATGATCTGCATTTTCATTTTGCAAATAGAACACATATATATTGTTGCCACTATCAAAATATGATCTGCATTTTCCTTTTGCAAATAGAACACATATATATTGTTGCCATTCTGGCTTGCTGATCCAATGAGTTCAACATATTCTAGTACTTCGATTTTTGCTTCAACCACACCTTTTCTTTTGAAACACAGAATTTATGTCCAAAGTACCTATTTGCACACTGCTTTTCATTCTTGTGTGTGCACACTAGTAATGGGTGCTTTTAGAACTCTGAAAGTCTGGGAATGGTGCTAGCCAGGCAAGGTGGTCTTTCTTAAAATACAAAAAAGGTGTCCCATCTTTTGCAACTATGGATCTCTAAGAAATTGCCACTTAATATGCCTTTCCTTTTTCATAGCTAGAACATATATATGTTGGAAAAATCATATGGCGCCCACGGGGGCTGGCGCCCTCGTTAGCTAAAAGACTAGAATACCATGTTAGAATGTTTCAAAAGTCATCATAAAAATCATGTATGTAGTGCACCTAAAGTGTAGCCACAACAATTCAGATTGAAATTCATCTTTGGTGCTGAGATTAAAAAAACAGAAGTGTCACTATCAGCACATGATGAACAGTGGCAGGTTGGTTGCTTGTCTATTTTGTTTCTTGGCATCTAGGATGAATTTCTAACTGAATTGGTGCAGCTATACTTAACTTTATGTGTACTACATACATGATTTTTGTGATGGTTTCTGAAACATTGCAACATGGTATTTTAGCCAACGAGGGTGCCAGCCCCCTGGGCACCAAATCTGCACTCTATATGTTGTCAGTTAGCTTGCTGATTCGAAGAGTGGAATGCATTATATCACTGGATTGAATCTTTGCTTCTACCACAGAGTTTCTTTTTGAAACATAGAGTTTATGTCTCTATACTGCCATTATCATGTGTAAAGCAGGTACACATTTGCTCAACTGCCTTTAATTATCTTGCTTTGCAAATTCATTTGCTCTGATTCAGCTATTGTCACTTTGGTCGCCCGTGCAACTCGTGTCATCTACATTCCTCTGTTGTTTTGTTGGTTCATTATTTATATTCTTTTGATCAAAAAAATAAATATATTTCCGGCCAATTGATGGATGGATTATTCAATTAGTCCAATGGTAATATATCCTCACGGGCTTTAGTAAAATATTGTCCTGTTTATCTCCCATGACCATGAGATACCTTAGTGATGCCTGCTTTTAGATATCTGAAAGTCTGAGAATGGTGCTCGCCAGGCAAGGTGACCTTTTTTCTTAAAAGAAGGGTTATGTCTCTTATTTTTTGCAACCAAGGATCTCTAAGATGTCGACACTTAATCTGCCTTTTATTTTTTGCAACTAAAACATACAGATATTTTCACCACTCTGGCTTGCTGATCTGATCTGTAGAATGTATTCTTGTATTTGAATCTTTGATTCTACCCTTGAGTTTCTTTTGAAACGCAGAGTGTTTGTCTGAATACTGTCATTTTCTTGTGTTAAGTCCCATTTGCTCAAACTGGCCTTCATTCTAGTGCTTTGCAAACTCACTCACTAGTGATTTAGCTATTGTCACACAAGTGCTTGGTTGCCCCGAGCAACTCATGTCATCTACATTCTTCTGTTGTTTTGTTGGTTCATATATCCTTTTGATCGAAATGAATATGGGAAAATTGGTTCCGTAGCATCGAAAGATCGCGACTTTCGTAAAATACCACTGAAAGACATCGGCCCCGTAAAATACCACTGAAAGGTGCACACGTGAACTGAAAGTACCATTCTGTTAGATTTGAGCATTAGGTCTGTTAACTTAGACCAAAATACCCCAAACCGGTACAGGAGCTCTAAAAACATAAGAATCAAGCCCCAAACCGGTACAGGAGCTCTAAAAACATAAAAATGAAGCATAGGGCATCAACTGACAGCATTTCAACACATACAAGTCACCATATGCACTAAATATTGACCAAGCACATGAAAAATATTCTGGTTCAACACATGGACTAATATTGACCAACACATCTTGCAAGCACATGGCCAAATAGGTTCACAGTATAGGAATCATATTGGTCTGGTCCAACACATGCAGAACAACACATGCCCAAAATAGGTTCAGTACATGACTTTTTCATACAGCAACAGTTCAATAAAATGATTCAGGATCACACTAGCCTAGTTTATGATGACCCTCCTAGCAATGCCTCCTGGTGATGTATCCAGTTGTGCTGCCATTCGTCTTGTTATTGGCCTTGGACTCACTGGTGTGCCTGGTGGTCTTGTTGTGTAGAAACAGAAGCTGCCATCCTTCTTGTTGTTGATCCTGGACTAACTGGTGCTTGGATGGCTAAGGAAGTAGAGGGGCTAGCTGTAGCTGTACCAGGTGATTGACTGACTAAAGAAGTAGAGGTTATTCCTGTACCATTCTTTGAAGTACCACCTCCTCCCATTCTTTTACTACATAACAGCAATGTAATCAAGTCATTTTACATGTAGGGTAATTCAGCTAGAACATGAAACTTGAAGTTCAACTTACCCAGGTTCAACAACAAGTTCAGTAGGGGGCTCACAAGTAGAGGTTCCTGTAGCATTCTTCTTGGACTTTTTGGAAGCATTCTTGCATTTTGAAGTACCACATCCTCCCTTTCTTTTACTACAGAACAGCAATGTAATCAAATCATTTTGCGTGTGGGAAAAAAAAGAAACCATATTAGCAAAAACATGCAACTTACCTAGATTTGGTAGGAAGTGATGGTGGTAATTCAGCAGCAAGTTCAGTAGGGGGCTCACGACATCCCTTTTCAATATGTTGTTATTCACATAGTCAACCTTGCACTCACCTGAAAACTTAGCTCTTGACCAAATCTGTTTGTGTTCTGCTTCCAAGTAAGGAACTGCATTTGGACAGTTTTCAACAATTCTATCCCATAACCATTGATGCCTTCGAGTAGTACATGCCCAAGCACAAGGCCACATGTACTTCATAACTTCAATACTTCTCCTTCGAAATGTTTCCTAAAGTTTTGCATGAGGTGTCTAAAACACTCTCTGTGCATCAGTGTGGATTGTAAGTCCATGTGGAGTCCCAATTGCTCTCTTCAACTGCATCAAGAACCAAGTCCAATCAGCTTTTGTCTCCTTGTAAAAAATCCCATATGCCACGGGATACATCCAATTATGCCCATCAATTGCTGTTGTTGCAGCTAGCTGTCCATTATATTTACCGGTGAGGTGAGTAGAGTCAACTCCAAGGTATGGTCTACATCCAACAAGAAATCCATCCACACATGCTTTGATGGCCACAAACATCCTAGAGAAGTAGACTTTTCCATCTTTCTTCTTCTTGCAATCGATCTCTACTATGCTTCCAGGACATGTAGCTTCTAACTCTGCTTGGAAACTCCACAACGTTTTGAAGCTCTCCTCCCAAGTGCCATGGAGTCCTTCAAGTGCCTTTTGTCTTCCTTTCCACACCTTGTTATATGATAGTTTGATTGGGAATTGTTGTTCAAGCTGATCCTTCATCTTCTTTGCTCCCAAGGATGGATTTGACATGAGTATCCCTTTTGCCCTGTCGGCGATCCAACCTTTAGTGGCTTCCTTACCCTTCACTTGGCTTGTGCTCGCGCATGTATGCCCTTCTGAAATGGAGACAATTTGAAAATATGGACAAAACATGTATATGGACAGATCTGAACCATTATGAAATTGTGGACAAAACATGTATATAACAGATTTGAACAATTATGAAAATATGGACAAAACATGTATATAACAAATCTGAACCATTATGAAAATATGGACAAATCATGTATACAGTAAAGTAGGGCAGCCAAGAAGTTTCTTTGCATGTATTTTCCATTCACAAGCTGAATCGACACATCTTGCCCTGTACCTTGTTGTGTCACTATGCTCCACAAATGTCTGGATCAGGATCTGTACCTTCATATACCTTCCCTTTCTTCTCCACTTTTTTCTTTTCCTTCTGTTGCTTCTTGAAATATCTCCATTCTTCATCTGCTCCAACCGGATCATCTTCCTCAGGGTCAAAACCATGGTCCATATAGTGCTCCTTCTCCTCCTCCTCTACTCTAGCAGGACCAGCTGCTGAAACCCCAAGTTCTGGTTCATCTGCCCATTCTTGACCTTCATATTCTGGACCTACAACTTTATCTAGACCTTCATTGCTGACTACAAGTTGCAGGTTATTATCCTCATCTATGACCTGATTTTGATCCCCCATTTGAGTGACACATCTATCAACAGTCATGATGAACTTCACATTTTTTGAAACCCGTAGCAAGGTAAGAAGCTCTTGATCAGTAGCAAGGCGAGTCGTTTGACCTTTTTTATTTGCAAACCAAAAATTTGCCTCTTGGTTGCTTGCCCAAGCAAAATGTTTGAAAACATCCGTCTCCATGTCAATGATAGAGTACTCATCTGAATCTACCCACCACTCCAAACATCTGCCCTTTCGGTACACCGCTCGACCATCTTCAATAGTTGAGAAGGAGCATACATCAATCACTACTCTACAAGCATTATTCTCATCAATCCTGAAAATAGTAGCAGTGCAGAAATTAACAACACTTTCACGTGAATCCTCACTTCTAATCCATCTGACATTTGTTGCAATTCCCATTGAATCAGTACAAAATCAGTCAACTATCTTCTGATACAAAATCAGTCCATGTATGCCCTACTTCTAATCCCATACAAAATCAGTCCATGTATGCCCTACTTCTAATCCCATACAAAATCAGTCCATGTATCTGACAACACACGTGTTTTACAACTAATTTCTACAATACAACTAATCTACGAGCAGCATATGAGGAACAATGAGCAGTAACAAGGAAGGGACGAGCTAGGGTTTCAGTCTTACCCTTCGGGGATCTCCATTGGATGCATCCGAGGACACCGGGCTCGAGGGGCCGCTCAGGGACGCCAGGATGACGGAGGGGCGGCGGCGCAGGAGCTGGGAGGGGCGGCGCCGCCGGTGGGAGAGAAGGGGAGGGCGACGGCGCGGTGCAGGAGTTGTGAGGGGCTGCGGGCGACGGCGGTGGGAGAGAAGGGGAGGGGCGGCGGCGCAGGAGCTGGGAGGGGCGGTGGCGGTGGGAAAGAGGGCGCTGCACGGGAGCTGGGAGGGACGGGTCTGTGCGAGAGGATGCGGTAGGATAAGGTTTGCCTGGGACTTGTCCTCCAGCCAAGGGTACAAAGGTCATTCCAGTTCACGTGATGTGCTGAAAAGGGTCCAAAAAAGAGTTTTCGGTGAAAAAATGCGACGGAGTGTGACTTTTAGTTAACGTGTGCACCTTTCAGTGGTATTTTACGGGACCGATGTCTTTCAGTGGTATTTTACGGAAGCCGCGGTCTTTAGATGCTACAGAACCAATTTTCCCAATGAATATATACCAAATTGATGGATGAATTGCTTAATTGGGTGTTCTTAATATACCCAATTAAGAAACAAGAATACATTGCATGATACAAATATATGCCTGCAACCTGCATTATTTCATTCAGTTTATTGGCTGTAGAATTCTGTGCCAAGTGAATCAATGCCATTATGTCCTATTGGGCCGTAGGAAGTATTGTCCTGTTTATCTCCCATGAGGGAAACCTTAGTGATGCCTTGTTTTAGAACTATGAAAGTCTGAGAATGATGCGTGGCCTTTTTTATTTTTCCTAAAAAACAACTATGTCTCCTATATTTTGCAACTAAGTATCTCAAAGAAATTCGACATTTAACCTGCCTTTTCGTTTTGGCAACAAGAAGATATATACTCCTTCTGTTCTAAATTATAAGACATTTTTTGCTTTTCTAGGTAAATTGTTTTTGCTATGTATGTAGACATAGTGTATATCTAAGTACATAGCAAAAGACATGAACATAGAAAAGCCAAAACGTCTTGAGGGAGTACTCTGTTGTTACCACTCTGGTTTGCTGCTCTGATGATATAGAAGATATATTCCAGTATTGTGAATTTTGTATTCGGCCACACCTTTTCTTTTGAAACACAGAATTCCTGTCTGATTGATGACTGCCTGTCATTCTTGCGCTTTGCAAACTCACTTGTGAGATTCATATACATTCCTCTGCTGGTTTGTTGGTTTTTATATTTACATACCCTTTTGATCAAAATGAATATATATATATCACCGGCCAATTGATGGATGAATTGCTCGATTGGAAATTCTTAATGTACCCAGTTAAGAATCAATCAAGAATATAAATAACAAGAAATTCTTAATGTACCCATGTTTGACTGCATTGTGAGACCGAGAGGCAGGGGAGGGGAGTGATCATAATTCATACATGCATGCAGATCACTGCATTGAACAAGAATGAACAAATGAAGAATGTGTGGTGTGGTGGATGGATCATGTCATATATGGCTTTTTGTTGTTGTTATGTTATTTATTAATTAATTACTGGGCGGAGGGAGCTTCAGAGGCGGGGCAATGGCGGCCCAGGACTTTGCACTCCAGCTTGTTCTTGCCCGCGGAGATGCCCTTCATCATGGTGTGCAGCCCCGCCTTGGCCTTGGCGCCTATCGTCGTCTTGTGGCTGGGTTCCTCGCTCGCCGGCGCTGGTGCTGGAGCTCCGTCGCCGCCGCCGCCGGCTGTCGTGTCCTCGTTCGCCAGCGCTGGCGCATCAGCTTCCGGTGCATCAGCATCCACAACCGCCTCCTCTGCCGCGGCAGCCAGTGAATGCTCCTCCATTGCTGCCGCCAGGAGCGCCACCAGCAGCGCCAATGCGACCAAGGACGGCGTCCTCCATGATGCCTTGCCCATCGCCGTCCGTCGACGTACTGTTGTGTTAGATGTTTTTCTTGGATCACCGGAAGTGATGGAGGAATGCGACACTACCAATCTTCTATAAATAATGACATTACTGCTAATATTATTGTAGAGAGAGGTCGTCAGGGCCTAAAACACAGATGGTGCAGAGCCGCTATGCTGTGTTTAGGAACTCTATTAATAAAATTGTTTGTTGGATGCTATCTTTAGGAATGTATGCAACTATATATATATATATATATATATATATATATATATATATATATATATATATATATATATATATATATATATATATATATATATATATATATATATAAGGAAAACCAGTTGCCAGTTCCCCCCTCTTTCTTCTCTGATCAGCTAATGTGTGTCATTTTTTTTTAATTTCTGCCACTGCATTTCTGGCTGACATTATTAGCAATTCGTTCCAGAATTGTTTAGAGGAAAAGAAGGAAGGAAACATACTGAATATAACATTATTCTTTTAGTTTAGCAGTTTGCAACCGCATGTATGTCGTCAGACTCGGAGCTTACGCTGCCATGCCATCAGATCATCATTGTGAAAGTGAAATATACAGCAAATGGAGAGAGATATTCAACTGAAGACAACACATTTCACGTTCTCGAAACCAAAGGCAGAAAGTGAGATGCATGGTGCTCCTGCTCCACAAGGGGGGAGCCATATGTATTGTACATGGCTTGGCTTGCTCTTAGTCTTAGCCTTATCTTCATACAAGCTAGCTACCACCGTTCAGCTTCAGTCATATCATCCTTCAGTGGTGAACAAGAATCGTCTCATCATCATTATCATCATCTATATAGGACAAAGGTTAGTGGACGATCATATACGTCTCTGTCACGTCTACACAACATGTATTTATTGTGTAAACTAAAAAAGAAAACAAAACATAAGTGACTACGCTCCCCATTCTAATTCTTCAGAAGTATATCCTTTTCAAAGTGTACATACATACGCACTCCATGTACAAACAGCCATCCCTTTAACTTGTCAAAGTTTACCAAATGGTTAGTTAGTCAATTCAAATAATGTTAAGAGTGTAATACATTTCTTGTCGAAATTAGGTACTTTGAGAACAACATATATATACACTTACAATTGGTTTCGTTGTATCCATGAAGAAGCAACCAAATATCTAACTTTGAACAGTGAGGTCAAACTTATCAAATAAAGTTTGTAAATGAGAGAATATTTAATTTGGGAAGAGGCAGATGGATGCTGAGAAATTAAGTAGCTGCCTGAGATGGTTGGAGTTGGGGGACATTGAATTAAGTTGATTATTATGATAGCATGCATGCCTGACCTAACTAATAAGGGGATGGATCCATGGTCCTCCTAACTCTCATGCATGTCTATTTGGTATATGGTAGAGTCTAGGTAAAAGAGATACACTTCGAATATCAACACGTACGGTCTCCATAACACAAAATTCAACACTATAATTTCTCCTATATACTTCCTTCGTCTCAAAAAGAATGTAATTCTCATTTTCAAGGAGTTAAACAATTTTAAGTTTGACCAATCTATATATAAAAAACACTAATTTCTATGGTAGTGTATAAGTACCATCGGAGTGGAATATGTATGTTCATAATAAACTTATTTAGAGACCTAAATATTGATACTATTTTCTACAAATTTGGTCAGACTTAACAAAGTTTGGCTAGCTCAAAACCTAGAATTACATTCTTCTTTAGGACAGGACGGAGGGAGTAGTATATATATATATTCCTATCCCTTGAACCACAAAAAAACTTATATGGTTATGAAAGTACCTTTAGTTAGACATATAAAACTTCTGAATTTAATTTGTTGAATCTCATTATACCCTTATGAAAGGATCAAGATGGCCAAGAGGGGGGTGAATTGGGCTAATTCTAATTTTTTTGCAATAATTAAGCCCTACACTTAGCCCATTTCACCCCTTGTGTCTAGAATGTGTTTCTATTGTTCTACCTCACAAAAGTTTTGCATTCTAGGTTCCAATCCTACTCTAGCATGGCAATTCGAGGAATGTAAAGACATGAAATGAATTGCTCAAATCTAAATGCTCAAAATAAAGACACGGAAAGGAACGCGACGATGTTTTCCTGAGGTATTGGAGAGTCGCCACTCCCCACTAGTCCTCGTTGGAGCACCCGTGCAAGGGTGTAGCTCTCCCTTGATCCACGCAAGGATCAAGTGCTCTCTACGGCTGATTCTTTGACACTCTGTCACGGTGAATCGCCCACAACCACTCACAACATGACTTGGGTCATCGACAAGCTCTGTCGGATGATCACCAAGCTCCCAACCACCACCGAGCCATCTAGGTGATGGCGATCACCAGGAGTAACAATCACAAACTCTCACTTGACCAAGACAAGCCTAATGAGAAAGATAGATGCACACTTGCTACTCCCTATGCACTAGTGAGGTCCTTAATCTTGGATTATCAACTCTCAATCACCACACTACGTTCTTGCTCTCCCTTGCACTCTAAAGGCGTTTCACAGCTGAACAATTAGGCAAGAGACCTCCCATGAACGAGTGGGATAAGTATTTATACCCCCTCATTCAAAACATAACGGTTGGAGGCCAACTCAGGAAGTTTTGGGGTGACCTGACACGCCGGTCAGCAAAATGCCCCTATGGATGCTCTTTGATGTTGATAGGATGCAGGCACCCTAGTGTCCGGTCATGTACTGTTTAGCGTCCAGTCAGTACATGACTGTTGCTGCTGATCAAATGAACTGACCGGACTCTTCACACTGTGTCCGGACACAACCAAACCAGTGTCCGGTCAGTCATTTGACCCTCCATTCACTTCCAATTCGAAATCCTTCGAGAATGAAGTTGACTTCTATCGATCTTAGGGCTATTCCTGAGCTACCTAGTGCTAAGTTTGACATGTGTGCACCACACCCGATTCATTAGACTCACCTAGGTCAAGCTACTAGTCCATACCCCCTTAATAGTATGGCCAAAGGAAAAACAAAGTCCTAAACTACTCTAAGTGTCTCTCTAACGCCAAACGACACTTAGAACTAGTTCGTCCTTAACCTTATCGTCCATCCTTTGAAAACCGAAATGATTTCCATCGATAGGGGCATGACAACCATGATTGTCCAATCAATTTCTATTACCATGACCTAACTCAAATTGCTTCTGCAAAACACATGTTGGTTATAGTAATCTCGTGTCATCATTAATCATCAAAACCCAACTAGGGGCGTAGATGCTTTCAATCTCCCCCTTTTTAGTGATTGATGACAACACAACCTCGAGTATGTAATAGAGATGAGTGAGGTTTTCAATATGCTTGCTTCATATAAGCATTTGACAATAAGAACAAAGGAGTTAGGCATGCTTATATGACCCAAGCCAACATGGTGTACTCAAAAAATATGAATTAATCATGAGTACATGAAGTAAAGATCATTTGAAACGGAGTAAAATGCGGAAGCACAGTAAATAAGCATGACCAAGTGACATGACATATATATATATATATCAATGTAGAGAGCACACATGTCACATAAGTCTCACAATCACATGTATATAATACAATGCATGAAAGTAAACATGAATGCATGAAGTATCACACACAAAAGACCAAAAGAAATGAATTGAGACCATCTCACACGCTCCCCCTAGATCTAACATACTCGCTCCCTCTCCCCCTTTGGCGACAAGCACCAAAACCTAAGGGTTAGACGGCGGGACAGGAGCAGACGAGTCGGACGCTGAGGTGCGATGAGAGATCTAGAACTGAGCTGCATCACCGTCTAACCCTGAGCTTTGAGCAGTTTGACCCTCTATCGCTGGAGGTGAAGGTGAAGCGGTCTGGGTTTGCTCAGTAACTGGCGCAGCCTATGACTCTAGAGGTGTCACTGTAGGAAGTGGAGCCACATCTGCCGTTGTCGCTATCGCTATCGCTGAAGCCTCAAGTGTAGGAGTGACTATCTGAGGTGGCTCGGATGATGCAACAAACGACAAAATCATCTCGGTAGTCCCGGTAACTGGGGCTGCTGTGGTAGGGACAGAGACTCGAAACACTGGAGGTGTAGTCTACCCTGTAAGCTCACTGAAGGTAGCGCCGAGACTCTTGGAGACTGAGGTGTCTGTCACTAACCCCGAAGAAGTTTGAGTCGGAGTGAAGCCCGTAACAATAGGAGTAAAGTGCAGACCCTGAGCTATCCCTGGTGAAGCAAACCACTGAAACACCTGCTCTGTAGGTGAGGCAAACTGAGGAGCTGGCTATCTCTGACTCGGAAGCCCACTGGGCTGAGCTAGAGTCACTAGAGTGGTGGTGGCAGACTGGCCTATCTGAATTGTAGACTACTGAGGAGCAACCCCAATAGCAGTGAATACATGCTGCATGAAGCCAAGTAACTGCTGCTGAATCATAAGCTGCTGCTGCTGCTGCATGGCCTACTACTGTTGTTGAAACTCATCATGTTATGCCTAAACCTGAGCAAGTGCAGCTGCGGTCTCCTGTGCCTGGTGTGCCTGGTCCTGTCTCATCCTCTCAAGTATAGCTAGAAGTGCTGGGTCAGTCTGCGGTGGCTGTGGTGGAGCTGACCTGTAGCCACTAGCATCTCTGTCATGTGGTCGAGGAGCCATCTGCGGAATCGACTGATAGTCATCATCTGAGCTGTTAGTAGGGTCATTCTCGACCACATTTTCCTGCTGGGCATCTAGCTCCTCCTCCTCTGTCTCTGCAATGCCCCTGATGATCTCATCCTACTGAGTTGTTGTCTCTAGTACCTCTGGGCGATGGCTCGGCTTTTGAGGTGTCCTCGCACGACTGTGATGTAGCATCTAGCTCATGTCGTACTGTGGAAACTTAGTGGTAGAACCTATCCACTCTACCATTGTCTCTAGGGACTTATGTGGAACTGCCTTTCAGAGTAGGAAAGTGATCCAATGAGCATAAGGTAGCTGACGGTGACATCTGAAGCCCTCTACTAGTGTGTCCTCCATCTCTGAA